ACGCCTTCCTCAAGCCGAAGGTCAAGGTCGGCAACGACTACGTGACAAAGGGTCAAAATTTGGAACAGGTAAGCTGAGCATGAAGCCACATGTTGGCACGATTTCACTTCGTCTCCTGAATTAATGCCCTCTTCCTACAGGTCATATACGCTGTGAGCGCATTGGCCAAGTCATTGTACAACCGAATGTTCGGCTGGCTGGTGACTCGAGTTAACAAAACCCTCGATACGAAGATCAAGCGGCAACAATTCATCGGCGTACTAGACATTGCCGGGTTCGAGATCTTCGATGTGAGCTTGCCATGCCTTAAGTTGCAATCCTTATCTCAACTTGTCAAATTATTAGACATTTCTGTCCATTCTCTGCTTTAGGAGAACGGATTCGAGCAGATCTGCATCAACTACACGAACGAGAGACTTCAGCAATTCTTCAACCATCACATGTTCGTGCTGGAACAGGAGGAGTACAAAAAGGAGAACATTCAATGGACCTTCATTGACTTTGGTATGGACCTGGCCGCCTGCATTGAACTCATTGAAAAGGTGAGTTGCTGGGCAAACCTTTCCCGAATGAAGCTGTTGAATTATGTCACTTGAATTCCCCGTATCAACATGTTCATATCACTTTTTTCTTCTTTTCCCCTTTCCACTCAGCCAATGGGCATCCTCTCCATCCTCGAGGAGGAGTGCATGTTCCCTAAGGCCAGCGACCAGACATTTAAGGCCAAACTGTACGACAACCATCTCGGCAAGAGTCCCAACTTCACGAAGCCGAAACCGCCCAAACCGGGCCAGCCCGAGGCCCACTTTGAGCTGCATCACTACGCGGGCATTGTACATATTTTATTCTTCACTCTGATTCATGAATATTTTGTCTCCTTCAAAATAAGATTTATTTATATTGGACATATGTAAATCCCTTGTGTACACTTTAACTTTGCTCTTATTTAAGTTTTTTACTATTTTACTACTTCTATACAAGTATTGGCATTCTCATTATAGCACTTATAAACACGAATGGAAATTATGCTACATTGTTCAATTATGAGGAATGTCTATTAGCAAAATATGATAGATATGCAAAATCGAATAAGATTATTAGT